CCGGGGTTGTTCTGTTGTTGTCGGGGGGGGGGCCGTGGGGCTGGGGGCGGGGGGGGGGGGGGGGGGGGCCTGGGGGGTGGGGGGGTCTCTTTCATATCTCTCTGAGCACCAACTTACACGATGGGATGTGAATAGGGAGAGGTGAGTCCTGGAGGGTGGCCGAGTTACTATTTTGTTATTTGTTTTTGTCCAAGGTTCCGATGGATGTACTTCGTAAGGTAGGGGGCATAATACCTATAAGAAGACATAAATAAGTATGGTTCGACGGGCTGCGGGAGAGAGTGAACAAAAGACAGAAACATCTAGAAGCCTCCCTATCTGGGATTAGAGCAATGAGGCGACATGACACCATCAACTTTTTTGCAGCCGCACATTGCATCGCCTTACACGTGTACGCAGCTGTGTGCCTGCGAGTGGATGAGCTTGTGAATCCCTACATGTAAGGTAGGTAGATATTGATCCATGATGGGTATACAGTATATGATATACAGCTATATGATGGTATACAAGTATATGATATACAACTATATCCATGATGACCTGATACCGTCTACCTACCTGTAACATTAGATAACTACCCACGTCACCTCACGTCACCTCACGCTGCCTCGACGACGTAACATGATGTCGGGGTGGGTTCGTTTGGCGTCGAGGCGGAGGGTTGTACGGGTACCTGGTGTATGTTTCCGATAGATATCACGGTGTCTAAGATGCCCGACTCGGTACCATACATGTAGAAACGCTGTTTTCGTGTGGATCATGAACCTCGTACATACATACGTACATGATGTATGATGTAGGTTACTTAAGGTATTACAGCCGATGTGGATGGTGCCGTGGTCAAACTACTGCAAAGTAGGTAGAGTTCATCATATTACCCGTATGCAGTACCCATGAGTACTTGAGGGAGGTATGTATCGATCGATGAATGCTCATGATGGGTTAAATGACACACACGGCTGGTGTGTCTGTAAAACGGTAAAAGTCGCGAAGTCTTGAGAGGTGGTTCCTGTGGGGGGTAATTAGAAGAGGTTCTGCTTCGTATATACGAAGCATGTGTGCCACAAACTGATCGGGATTGGTGTAATGGCCGCTTTAACTAAGCGTTCGACTGCATTTGTACAAATATCTCATATAGAAAACGTCACTCGGAACGATGCTCGGATCGGTTCGGTTTTACGAAAGGGCTCGGCCCCTGGAATCCGTTTGCTCAGGTGAAATACGATTTGACGGGCCGTGATTTACATGATCCATCCCTCCTCCCATAGCTGTAATTATCTAGTTCATCCATCTGCGTAGGTAACGCCTGGTCGCTAGGTAGGCACGAATAATCAATCCTCTTGGCATTCTCTCTCGAGCTCTGCCATCAGTTTCTCGACTTTCTCTCGCCGCGGATCACCGGCCACTTGACACCACCCCTTTTCCACCCACTCCCTTACTCCTTTCTCGGGCACCCTCCCGTCAAGCAATGTGAGCACGGCTTCGATCATGCCCAGAGCTTCACGATTCGAGAGTCCCGAAGAAAGTCCAAGGTGGAATCGCCTGACAAGCTCACTCCCACAGGCAAACCCCACCAGGTCTTCCCGCCCTTTCCGTCTCAGGCTCTCTCCTACATAGCGATCATCCGTGCTGAGTCCGGCTACGGGACGGTACAGCCTGCCCAGGTCGGCCGTGAGTAGGGAAGGGCCGAAGGCTTCGCAGGCCGGGACGAAACGCGCAAACTGCCAGTCGATGACGGCAGTGATGTTGTAGTCCTCGTCTACGAGCAGGTGGTCCCCCTTGTCGTCGACATGCTTGAGGAAAAAAGAGCCACCACCGGCGGACGACTCGGCACTCGTAGCCGCGGCGGCCAGGGCCGGAGCCGCCCTGTCCCGGAGTAATCTGTAGAATAGAAATGCCTCCTTGGGGTACTCTGGGTAGATCTGCCCGTCGGCAATGAGGTCTAGGTGGAGGTCCGCGATCGAAGTAAAATACTCGAGCGGGTTAGCGAAGGGGCCATGTTTCCCAAGCGACAGGAACCTATTACTCGCAATGGCGGCCACTTTGGTATCATGGCCGTCCGAAAGAAGGGAGCAGGCCTGTTCTACGGGGGCGCGACTGATGTTGATGAGTATGTCGGCGTACTGGCCATAGACGTGCGACTTCTGTGCATCCGTCGCCTCGTGAGCGTAAAAGGGTCGCCCCGGCATGGCATCCTCGAGTATGTAGCCGACCCCGGCCAAGTTACCGGGATCAGAAAAAAGCCCGAATCCGTGAGCCTTGGGAGTAGGCACGTTGAGATGCTGCTCCGAGAATTTGAGGGTAGCGTACTCCGTCTCGATCAGGTAGTCAACGAGCTCCAGGGGAACGTCGCTAAAAGCCGTAGTTCGGGGGATCCGGGCCAGCCACCTCACTCCGTCGTCGAAGACGATCCATGCGTGATAATTCGCGCAGCCCATGGTTGCGCCGCTCCCCAGGTGCTGTCCGGGTAGGAACTTGCAGGCCTTCCCGCTGCGGAGTGAACTGGCCACGCAGGTGAGTTCTTGGACGTTCACTTGGGCAAGAAGTGCCTCGACTTCGGTGTTGATGCTCATTTCCCATGAGGCATCATCAACCTTGATCCTCGTTAGTATATGTGACCTAAGGCCAGCATGAACAGACGAATAGGAATCATTTCGTGTACATACGTAAGCAGGAGATGGGCATTTGTGATATCGAGGGAGAATATGGACAGCACATAGGTGTCTCTTGCAGGTTTGGCAGCTCCGGCCACGAACACCTGGGCGGCCACAAGCTAGATATGAACAAGTTGCGAAACGGTCAACTATTGGTGTATTACGCACTGCATGAATCGTCGGATTTGGTGGCACTCCCCTTCGCGATGCCTCGCAAATGGCGATTAGTCGAGTATCATCTGCCCATTTACTGAGGTTAACTCGCCGCCATTCTTGCCAGTCAGGCACAACGCCGTCGAAAGTAGCCACCAGGCCTCGGAATACGTTAATGGCCTCACTCTGGATGAGTTCCAACCCCATTCCAAGACCGAAGAGGAATCGTCGCATTTCGTCTGAATGAAAGTAGCCGCCGTATGGTGCCCCGCGACGCTGCAACTCTAGTCCCAACGCCCTATCTTCTTCACTCAGCCCTGGTTTTCCTGAGAAGAGACTGCTGTTGTTCGCAGACACGAGCGAAGGACCAAAGGCTTCGTATGCGGGGACTGCCCTCGCGAAACTCCAGTCAATAATGCCAGTAATCCGAAAGTTATCATCTACCAGGATGTGGTCTCCTTTGTCGTCCGTATGTTTTAAGAAGAAGGGCCCCGAGTTCAAGTCCTGCCATTTATCAAACCAAGAACCTGCCTTGGCCTGCTCTGCGAGATATTTGAACATCAGGTACGCATCGACTGGGTATGAGGAGAACAGTTGACCGTCAGAAATGAGATCGAGATACGACTCGGCCCAGGTGCTATAAAAAGCCCTCGCATCTTGAAAGGGGCCTATACAGGGCAGCGTTCCGGTCCTATCGCTCGCAACGGGGCCTATCTGGATTGATCCATCTGTGGCAAAGGTGAAGGATCCAATCTGGTTGAGAGGGTGTTTGCACAAGGTGCAAAGGATGCTGGCCCATTGGTCTAACACCTGTAATTTTTGGTCCTCTGAGGCCGCCTGCGAGCTGAAAGGTTGGCCGGGCAGCTTGTCTATAATCATGTAGGCGACACCTACTTCGTTCTGTGGATCGCCACGCAGCCCGTGGTCGTGAAGTTGCGGTGTCGGCACATCGACAGACTCCAACCACCGCAGCGTCGCGCACTCGCTGAGCAAGATCCGGTTGCTGAGCTCGTCGTCGAACGACGTGTACCGCTCGCGGAGGATTCGGGCGAGCCAGACGGTTCCATCCTCAAATACAAGCTGAAGGTGAACATGCATGCCGCCCATCTGACGACGTCCGAGAGGGTCCTCGTCGTCTAGACGACACGCCAAGCCGCCAGAAAGCTCTGTCGCGCGCCGCAAAAGCGCCGCGTGATTCGTCTTCCGGTGGAGAGCGACCAACTCTGCTGTCTGGGCTGCCAGCCAGGCATCGTCATCGAGGGGTTCCTTCTTTTTGCGAGAGTCGGATCAGCTGCTCCACCCACGGATACTATTACATATATCACATAGATGATAGACATCTTACCGTACAGGTGTGCAGGGCGGACGCAATATGTGTGGCACAGTACATGGACTTACATCGCTCGCAGTCACCGACGTCGATGGCTGCAGCGTCCGGGCATGCCGCGATGGCACAATTCCAAAATCGCACCATGGCGTGCGATCAATCAAAGCGGTCGGTGGACCACCAAGAAGATATCGCCGTAAGGTGATTTCAACGTCAGCTGTCAGGAGGGCGGAAAAAGCAAGCACGGCACCGCACCGGATCCCAATTGATTGGATGCTGTCTGTCAATCAGCATGTGTCTGCGGAAGCCTTCCCGTTAGTTTTAAGCGGGCATAAATAAATAAATAAATAAATCAACAAGCCAAGGAGAGACATACAAAAGTAAAAGTGATTTTGATTCCCTGACTGGGTATATATATAGAATGACTGTCATCCCTTTGACCCGGGCTGTGTGTGAGGTGTGAGTGAGTCGCCCTCATCATCATTGATCACATTCATTCCCAATCCACTAGTTATATAGCTTTAATCTCGTACTATCTATACGCTGTCATGTTATCATCAAAGACCAGATACTCGCTTCCCCCGTGCAACAACATCAGCATGTGGAATGCTGTTCTATGATAGCCTCCTCGACGAGGCTGGAAAGTTCTCCAGGTTTGCCTCACGTCTACGAAGTACTCACAAGCTATGTGTATGTCATGTAAAGAGGGGAGGGAGTGAGAGTATGTTGTAATTGAAACAGACAACAAAGGTGAACGAAAATTTATATTACTACCTAACATGTTAAAAAAAGGTTATGGCGGGATAAAAAAAGACGTCTACCGTGCAAGGCACATGTTATTACCCTCTCGATCGGGGAATCGAACCCCGGCCACCTGCGAATTGCTGTCTCAATGACAAGCAGGTATCCTTACCACTAGACCAATCGAGATGTAGCCAATCACTGCTTAGGTAAGGTGAGCATTCAGACGCACTATATAGTTGACACTACAGCAAAACTGTTGAATTATACATGCTAGTGATAGGTAGTTTCGACCAAGTAAGAAGTAAAAGTGGCTAGCTAGGTACTTAAGTACTTAGATGTAGGCATATCACCAAAAGTTGTTAACTTGGGCCTAGTTGATTACTGGGCTAACTAAGACTCTATATATCTTGCCATGAGGTGTTGTTAAGTAGGTAGGTAGTGCAGCTGCTGAGGATTCTGTCCAAGCCAAAGCAGGCTATCTATAATAGGTTGTTCGCCGTGTATGCGCCCAATGCCAAGATCAATAAAGACCCTACGTACGCTCCGAGCTGGCTCACCGAGCTTTCCCTTCTCCCTAGTTCTGTCCTTAGCTTGCTGCTTGCGGGGTGCTGCGCCTGTCAATTGGTGTAAATCTCTCCGCCTGCCACCATCACGGGCCTCACTTCCGAACTTCCTCGTGAGACATGGTCCGAACTACCCTGGCTGCCTACTTAGTATGTAGATACTGGACCTCGGACATCATGGGATTATCATTCAAACACATTCCAATGGTATATAAATACGGGCTCGAGTCGACAGTGTAGATTATTCAGAATCATTTTGGTAAGAGATATAATACTGGCAACGCTTGAGCACTCGCCATCATGAACTGCTCGGGATGGATCCGGGGACGCGAAGAAAGTTCCAGAGCAAGACCTGACGGTCCCCATCCGGTTGTCCGTCCCGGAGCGGAGGCATGGCATCCGTGAAAGAAACCGGTAGCCCGACCAGCCGACGTCTTTATATAAGCCGTGTTCAGCGTCCGCTTGAACGGCCCCTTTGGCGCCTCCAGCTCAGTACGCACGCACGCACGCACGCACGCAGCGGACGGAATACAGCAATATAGCACGCGGGTGGCGATCTATCACCATGGGCCTTCTAAGCAGGCTCCTCACCTCGGCGCTCGCCCTCTGTGGCGCCACGGCAGCAGGCGGGCTTGCCAAGCGCGCATCGCTGCAACAGGTGACGAACTTCGGCGCCAACACCTCGGGCACCAAGATGTACATCTACGTGCCGAACAAGGTCGCCTCCAACCCGGCCATCATCGTCGCGATCCACTACTGCTCGGGGACCGCGTCCGCATACTACAGCGGCACGCCGTACGCCACTCTCGCCGAGAAGTACGGCTTCATCGTCATCTACCCCGAGTCGCCGTATAGCGGCACCTGCTGGGACGTGTCGTCCAAGGCGGCGCTCACGCACAATGGTGGCGCGGATAGCAATTCCATCGTGAACATGGTGTCGTACACGCTGAGCAAGTATAATGGGGACAAGAGCAGGGTGTTCGTGACTGGTACTTCGTCTGGTGCGATGATGACGGTGAGTTTTCGCTGATATTTGGACTCGCTCGCTGCTCCTGGGTGATGGATTCTTTTTTGCCCGAGTCATTGCTTATATTTGTGTACTCGTAGAACGTCCTGGCGGCTACATACCCCGACGTCTTCGCCGCGGGGATCGCATACGCTGGCGTCCCGGCCACCTGCTTCTACACTGGCACGGTCAACGGGTGGAACAGCACCTGCTCGCAAGGTCAGCTGAACTTGAGTCAGCAATACTGGGCGAACGCGGCGCTCGGCGCATATCCCGGATACACGGGCCCGCGACCACGCATGCGCATCCACCACGGTACCGCTGATACCACCCTGTATCCGCAGAACTACTACGAAACTATCAAGCAGTGGACTGGCGTCTTTGGCTACTCGACCACGGCGTCTGCCACGTTTCCGAATACGCCTAGGAGCCCGTATACGCGCTATGTGTTTGGGCCTAATGTCGAGGGTGTTCTGGGTCAGGTGAGTGAATGAGGTTATCCCCCTACCTTTTCCCTCATGGGAACGACTTGATGTGTGCCATCAGCGTGAGCGCGGCGCGGGACGAGATGCTGACTTGAAGTTGTTAGGGCGTTTCACATAATATCGACATCTTCGGCGATGCTGACATGGAATGGTTCGGTATTTCGGTAAGGCCTAAGCCGTCAGCTAATGCTTCTAGATGGCTGACTCTTGTTGATATAGGGATCCGGTACCACGACTACGACGACTCCAAACCCCACCCAGACGACAACCACAACGACCAAGACAAGCACAACCACAGCCGCAACTACAACCACGGCCGTGCCAGGGGCTGCACACTGGGCCCAATGCGGCGGCATTGGATGGGCGGGTGCGACCACAGTACGTTCTCAGATTTGATCATGATTTTCGAGCAGGCTAACAAGACTGCTCCTTCAGTGCGTAAGCCCGTGGACGTGCCAGAGATTGAACGACTGTAAGTCGAGACCGACCCCTTTTATTACTGTGCTTGGCTAATATGACGATAGACTTCTTCCAATGCCTTTGATGCAGCACCGGGTTTCTGTGCGACGACCTGGTTAAGGGGGAAGGGTGTGAGCTTGTGCATAGTGGCCGGGTTTACTCGGCTTCGCACTGACAAGCAAGCACCGGGAAAGGTCATATGTATGTGATTGTATCACACAACACCGAGAGAATAAAAGCGGCAAGAACAATATCAAACTATGTATTGTCTGCCGAGAATATGCGACGAGGAGGGTCGATGTCAGTGTACCTGCAATTATGAAACAACCGAGATGGACATGCAATAAACTGTAATCAAAATGTGATGTTCGTTGCATGTGTACATGGGCTGTGCATACGATATGGGAATCACGGCTTATTTATGCGTCATTTCGTAATTGAGCGATGGAGAGAGAGAGAGAGAGAGAGAGTACTTGAATGGGAATCGTCATGCGTGTCGAGCCAGCGTACTAGAAGGCGATAGGGGTGCGACTGCAGTTGGGGCCTTCGCGGCACGGGCATTTCGGAAAAGTCGAAGAAGATGCTTCTGATTCACCCTTAAGCGCGTGGACTTGCCTCGCCACGAGCCGCCATTACATGGCAGGCCGAGCTTAGAAGACAGCTTCCGATGACACTCGCACCAGAATCGGTAGTGATCAGTGCTAGACGTGTAGAGCAAGACCCTGGGGATACGGGGGGCGGAGAGGAAGCCCAGAAAAGTCTGAAAGGGCTGAGCAGCGAGGAACGCCGGGCCCAGGTAGTGAAGATTCGTGTCAGGGCCGATGAGCAGCGGAATCTCGGTCTCGCAGAATCCATCGTCGTCGTCGTCGTCGTCGGAAGACCAATGGCCTGTCCAGAAATCCAGGCGAGGGAACCTGCCGTCGATTTCTAAGCGGAGGGTACGGAGATTGCCTTGATCTGCCATTTGGCGCAGGAGAGGGATATAGACGGTGTTAAAGCGACGGAGATTACTCTCTAGGTGGATCTTAAGATCCATGGTACAGACGTGAAGCCTCGGCGACAGGGAATTGAGCGGTTCGGCGAAGAGGCCGGGAGGCTTGGTCTGGTCTGTGATGTCCAACTGGATGTCATGATAGAAGATCTCGGCAGCCTCGAAGTAGAGCCTCCGAGAGACCAAGAAGATGCGTAAGACATGGGCCTGTTCCTCGCAGTCGATAAGAGCCGAGCTGAGGATCTGATATCGCAATTCGGCGGGCAGGTCAAAGAGGCGGAAGGGTCCCCTGGGTTTCCATCTTGCCGCGGCGGAGGGCTGCTGGGATCGCCTGGGCCTAGACGCAACGGATCTGCTGCCAAAGGTGCTTCTCGCAGAAGGCCACAGATCCGGGTTCATGTCCTCTGCAGATCAGCGAGAAGATGCGTGACGTCCAGAGAGAGGACAGCCTATGAGGATCTAAACAGGAGGTGAGGGGTAGCTTATGGTACGGGTAGTATTGGACAAGGCGACTTGTAGCTTGAGAGATAGATAAGTAAGTGAATATAGGTAAGTAAGTAGGTTGGATTTATCTATCTCAACCTGGTGTTAACGTAGAGGTTGGAGTGTTCATATCACAACCTCATATCACTCACCAAGTCCCTCCCGTCCTGTCTAAGTATCTCGAAGTACCTAGGTATACCTACTAGGCAGATACCACATCAAACGGCCCTACGTACAGTACATTATGTACTGTACGGAGCAGATTGTGACGCGACTATAACACACCAGGCTAGATAGGTCCCGCTGTGGACCTCGGCTTAATTACTTGGTATACTTTACACTAGCTACACTAGCGTTAGGTAGTGTAACCTGCTGAATGGCGTCGAATCATCCTCTTGGCAACATTAATTTATTCCATCTACGACTTCATAGTTCATACCGACAGCTACTTCGTACCCACATACTTTTCCTACACACTCTTTACTTTCCCTCGTCTGCCCGTTGCGTCCCGTCGTCGTCGCCGCCGCCGCCCTCGTTCGTTCGATTTCCTCAATGTTGCCATCGTCTAGCCACCACTGCTCCTAGGCATCCCCTGCCAGTCCTGTCAAAGGCGTCCGTCCAACAGCCCTCTCAGACTCATCCACCATGGGCGGCGCACTCTCGTTCCTTCGCAATGTCTACGACCTCGACACCCTCGACACACGCTTCACCGTCTCGTCTAGCACGCCCTACGCAGTCGTCGTAGAGGCACGCAGCGACGCCCCCGCCGCTAGCAGGGAACGCGCCGCGAGATGGAACGGTCGACCGCCCTCGGAGTCGAGGTGGCGCACGCCCGAGTTCTACTTGTACTACCTTATCATGGCCTTCGCCGTGCCGTGCATGTTCTGGATTGCCTACAATGCCTCGAAGCGTACGATCTAACCTAATATCCCGCCCTCTTCTCTGTCTACCTCGGCTTTGTTGACGGTTTCCTTCTGTCTCGCCCGCAGCTACGCATCCCAACTACCGGAACTACGAGCGTTATCTCTCACCCGGTTGGATCCCCGGCCGCCGCATCGTGAGGAACCCCATGCGCCGACCCCGAGACCTGACGAATGCATATGCTGACGAGCCCAAGGATGTCACCGATACGCAGTACCGTACCCTTCGCAATAGCGCCGTCTACCTCGTAGCTCTTCTCGTCCTCCATCCGCTTCTGC